AGGTAAACGAACCCGATTGCGTTTCAAAAAACAACAAGCACTAGAGACGTGGCTAGAGAAGTGCAAGTATCAAAAACTAAAGTGTGGCAAACGCTGCGTGAAGAGGGGCTGTATCCGTTTCACGTCCCACGTGTACAAGCTCTTCAACCTGACCATTTTCCAGCAAGAGTGCGGTTTTGTAAGTGGTTGTTGCATCAACATGACAATAATCCGGACTTTTTAAAGTGCATATTGGTGACAGACGAATCTACGTTCACGCGTAATGGGGTGAATAACTTTCGCAACACTCATGTTTGGTCAGTAGAAAATCCGCACGCTGTCCGTCGGGCACATTTTCAACAAACATTTTCGGTGAATGTTTGAGCTGGCATGGTGAACGGTATGCTCATTGGACCATTTATTCTCCCAAATTTGTCATATTTGTTACCTCTGTTCGTGGTCTGCACCACCGCGCGGTAGTGCATCAGCTGATTTCATTATCTGTTGGAGCCGTATGATTTCGGGCAGAGACGTACTTAGCCCTTCTCGTCAACTGGAGAGTGAGTACTTTTCCCATTTTTTTTTACTTGGTCGCCCTTGTTTCACTACACATTACCTTTGTTATTTCAAGGGTAGTTGTTTCTGAAAAGGAAAACCCCAACTTTGCGGACACCCTGTATAAAATAAGCAGAAGTAAATCATCGCAAATGCTCACAATGTTTATTACGATCTTACAATAAATCTTGTATACCAAAATAAAGAGTATCTGATAATTTCAAGGCCCTCCCAGGAAATTATATTTCTAAAATAACGAAAGTTTGGCGATGTCAATGTATGGGATATTATACATTTTTTTATTCGGAATCAAAAACTCTATTTATCTAATCAAAAGTCCCATATATACTAAATCCGAACACCGAGTTTAAATGGTTTTATTTTAATAAAATTTTGTATAAGTACTTAATGAAGCATAATAAGTAAATGATAAAAATTTCAAAATGATTGCACTGCTTTAAAGCCCTTTGACCTTTAATAATGTGTGGATGCACCCTGATATGCTACGCATTCTCCAACGCGCCTAGGCATGCTTCTGATCAGGTGGTCAATGTCCTCCTGTGGTATCTCATTCCAGGCAACCACCAACTCCTCTCGAAGTGCTTCTAGAGTCTGAGAAGGACGTTGCAAATTGAGCAATCTCCTACCCATCATATCCCACACGTGCTCAATTGGGGATAAGTCGGGAGATCTTTGTGGCCATGGTAACAATGTGACATCATTATGATGAAAGAAGTCTATTGTGACTCTTGCAACATGTGGTCGGGCATTATCTTGTTGGAAAGTTGGATCTGCCAGGGTGTCAAGATAGGGTAAAAGATGGAGTTCTAGAACTTCGTGGATATAACGCTGCGCGTTCATGTTACCTCTGATGAAGATTAAAGGTGACCTGGAACCATAAGCTATAGCACCCCAAACCATAACTCCAACAGTGTGGTGAACATGTCTTTCAACAAAAAACTGTGGATTCCTCCTTTCACCACGTCGCCTTCTAACCCTGGCACGACCATCGTGCATGCCTAAATAAAATCGAGACTCGTCACTAAAGACAATACTGTTCGATTCCTGATTCCAGACTGACCGTTGTCTGCACCACTCAAGGCGATTACGACGGTGTTCTCGAGTTAAAGGGAGGACCCAGTGTGCCCGGTATGAAAACAAGCCAAAACTTCTCATTCGTCGGTAAACACTTCGCATGCCAATAGGTCTTCCGTGTTCTGCAAACCATTCATTTGCAATGGACCTGGTAGTAGAGAAACGGTCCTTAAAGGCCAATAATCTTAGGCGGCGATCTTCACGGTCTGTTGTTCTACGGCGGCGTCCAGTGCCCCTTGCTCTTTGCGTACGGCCTTCTCGAAGCCATGCCTGACTACACCTAACCACAGTGTCTACACTTCTTTGCACTCTAACTGCAATTGCCCGAAAAGAAAGTTCAGCTTCCCGAAGTCCCACTAGACGGCCCCTATCAAACTCACTAAGTTGACGAAATCGTACAGGTCTCCATACTCTAGGCATCGTAACCGATCGTAAAGGATGTCAAGAACCAAAATCCGCCAACGTTGATTCTTTACTGCGGCTGAAATATTCATTTTTAGAGCGTTAGTGAATTAAAAAAAAGCAGTATAAAAACCGGAATGTCCAACTGATAAGGCTGAAAATTTTTTCATTTGTTATTTACAGTAAGATAAATACATTCACCAACTTTTATTAAAATAAAACCATTTAAACTGGGTGTTCGGATTTATATGTCACTTAGTATACTATAAGAAAAATAGGGTTGATTCTTGGGGACAAGAGATGAAACGTCATATTGCAATTCTAATTATGCCATTTTGTAGAGTAAAACAGTTAGCAATATTAATGTGCGCTTTATTTTTAAGTCTCACCATAAATAAAACCGGGAAAAAATCAATACGATTTTGGGAAAATTCTGTATTTTCCGTCTCTCTCCGGAAGCACTATTTTGAAACTTTTTGAGTGGCGTTTTGTTAATTATCTAAACACGCAACTTTGTCCTCATTTAAGCGTATCTCTTACCGTTTCCCAGAACGCTCAAATTTTATTTTTTGACCTTTCAGAGAATCCTTACCATTTTTGAAAAATTTTCAGGGATAAACATTTTGAAAGAGGGGGTTGGTTTGTGGAGGCGAGGTGGTAGGGCTATCTCTATGTTTTTGATGTTAGTACGTTTATACGCCCCCAACCTCGGTAGGTATACTCACTTATATTAGACATATTTCACACATCATAAGTTCAACGTGTACAAGCCCTTCAACCTGACGATTTTCCAGCAAGAGTGCGGTTTTGTGAGTGGTTGTTGCATCAACAATAATCCGGACTTTTTGAAGTGCATATTGATGACAGACGAATCTACGTTCTCACGTAATGGGGTGAATAACTTTCGCAACACTTATGTTTGGTCAGTAGAAAATCCGCAGGCTGTCCGTCGGGCACATTTTCAACAAACATTTTCGGTGAATGTTTGGGCTGGCATGGTGAACGGTATGCTCATTGGACCATTTATTCTCCCAAATCGATTGGACGGGATGCAATACCTAGACTTTCTACGCAACATTTTGCCTTCCTTGTTAGAAGATGTGCCATTAAGTGTAAGACAATCAATGTGATTTCTGCACGATGGTGCACCGCCCCATTTTAGACGCGAAGTGCGTGAGTTTTTGAATGAATTATTTCCGAATAGGTGGATCGGACGTGGCCTCCGCGATCTCCAGACTTAACACCATGTGATTTTTTTCTTTGGGGAGAAATGAAACGCTTAGTGTACAAAACTGAAGTGCATACGGTTGACGAACTTCGTCTCAGAATTGAACAAGCTGGTGCTTTCATTCGGGGGAGGGACTATAAAGTACGTTTACCTAACAAACTGAAAACGCGGCAACGCCATCATATTTGTTACCTCTGTTCGTGGTCTGCACCACCGCCGGCGTCTGCTCGGTAGCGCATCAGCTGATTTCATTTTCTGTTGGAGCAGTATGATTTTGGGCAGAGACGTACTTAGCCCTTCTCGTCAACTAGAGAGTGAGTACTTTTTCCTTTATTTTTTTTACTTGGTCGCCCTCGTTTCACTACACATTACCTTTGTTATTTCAAGGGTAGTTGTTTCTGAAAAGGAAAACCCCAACTTTGCGGACACCCTGTATATGTATCTATAGCTGTCTAATTTACATCAAAGAAAATCTTGATGATTTTTCTATCAAAAGTCAAGAAAGTAAGTGCTCCTCATAGATTTATCATTGACCCCCAAAGCTCCGACAGTTATTGCAGTAAGATTTTATAATCACTTACCAAATTCCATAAAGGGTATAACCGACTTGCATCTATCTAAAGCAAAAGCTAAGGACATTATGTTAAACAATCCCCTCTATGGCGTTTCAGAATATTTTAGCAGTTGTTTTGAATAGCGTACCTGATTTATTTATCACTGATGCTTTTAATTTGTATATGTGTATTATTGTTGTTTGTGAAATCTTATGTATTCTTTTATGATCATTTATTCTATACAGGACCAGAGAATGCTTGTAACGTCACTAAATTTTTTTTCTTAATGACAATTCCGATACTATGATTGTATGGTCGTATGGAAAATAAATCTATTTATTTATCAGCTCAACGATTAGGTTTGCGACCTTTGAGAACGAAATGACTCACAAACACGTACAATAGATAAGTTTAAGTACCTATGAAGTAAAAAATTTATTATATATGTTTATAAAATTGTGTAAGCTGTAGGATGTTGGTATTCGCTTTGTGGTCGCAATACATTTTGAACTTGTAAAAACCTGAGAGTGACAGTCTCGGAGCTTCGCTACCTTGCACTGACTTGTTCAATTCGTCACTCTATAAATACGAATGTGGGACAAATACGCTTATTCTTTTCCTGAATCTTGAAAAGGAAAGTGCTAAGAAAATATTTTAAAAAATATAAACAGATAGTATATCACACAAATTATAGTGAGTCAGTGTTATTTTGTTTGAGAGTGCTGGAGAAAAGTAAGTACATTATTTTTTATTAAATTTTAGTTTTGTACTCGTAGTTAGCAAAGATAGATAAATTACGCCAATCATGACTTTAGTTATTAGTAGTTAAATATTCAATCATACAAAATTACACGAGTACTCCTCAACAGTTTCTTTTTGAAAGTTTCAGTAATCGGTAATATAATTACAGTGCAATCTCCGTAATTCGAGCTAATTGTTGCAAGAAGATGTTCGAATTATGGAATGTTTTCGGAAAAATCAAAAAATATTTTTAATATACAGCTGCTGGATTTTCTGTCTTATTTAAATAATTTAATTTTGCCCACAGATGACTGATGCCATGTCCGAATCCGAAGAAATGTAGACAGTACAGTGTTGATTATTTGAAATTTGGCTTCATTCCATCATTGCCGGACAAACAATCGCATATGTGCCTTTTATGAAACAAAGTTTTGGGCAATGACGCCATGAAACCATCTAAACTGCAAGATCATCTGAGAAGATGCCACCCTGATAAAACAGAGAAAGATTTGAAATACTTTCAAACACTCAAAGATAAATTTCAGAAGAGACCTACACTGGACAGAATGTTCGCTTCGACGTCACAAAGAAATGATGATGGTTTGCGGGCGACTTACAATATCTCGTTACTTATAGCAAAATCCGAAAAACAGCATACTATCTGAGAGAAGTTAATTTTGCCAGCCGTTGAAGAGGTTTTAAAAACTGTTTTACACAAACCTGCATCTGATATCATTAAAAGAATTCCCTTAAGCAACAATACTGTTGAAAGACGTATTGATCAAATGAGTTCTGATGCGGAAAGCTTCTTATGTAATTATTTGCAAACGACCCATTTCTCTATACAACTGGAGTCAACTTTACCTGATAATGCAGCATTATTATTGGCATATGTTCGTTTTATTATGAATCAAGAAATATACGAAGAACTGCTCTTCGCAAGAACTTTGATAACTGACACTAAAGGTGAATCAATATTTTGATGTTTTGAAGGATTACTTAATTGAAAAAGCAATTCCTTTATCAAATATAATATCAGTAGCTACAGATGGAGCACCTGCCATGGTTGGACGTTATCGTGGATTTATAAGCTATTTAAAACAAAATGTGTCAGGGGTGTTAGCAATACATTACGTCATCCATCGAAACATTTAGTCGCTAAAAATTTGAGTGTTAGATTGCATGAATCACTTCATTTAGTCATTGATGCAGTAAACCGAATCCGAAGCAACGCGTTGAATACGCGGTTATTTGCGCAGTTGTGTGAAGAAAATGACGAACACTTTAATCAATTACTCCTTCACACAAGTACGCTGGCTGTCGAAAGGCTTATGTTTGAAAATATTTTTTGCACTTTTTGAGACTATTTTAGAATTTCTGGATACTAAAGATAAAATTTTAAAAGAAAATTTAATGTAGAGGAAAACAGACATCGCTTATTTAACAGATTTGTTTACAAAATTTAATATGGTTAATTTGCAATTACAAGGCGAAAGTTTAAATTTGATTAAAACAAAGTCCATCTTATCAGCGTTTCTTGCCAGAGTTAAACTAATGAAGCAAAATATTGGACGGAGCGAATTTTCTCAGTTCCCCAATTTGTCACAGACAAGCTGCTAGGAAGACGACGTTTCAACTTACGTTCAATATTTAAATGCCCTCTATTCAGATTTTGAATCTAGGTTTGAGGATATTCTGACTATGGTAATACCACCGTGGATAATTAATCCATATGGTGACATAGAAGAAACGAATGTCATAATACAAGAGGAACTGACTGAACTAAGTACAAACGAAGAACTTAAGGTTCAGTTTAAAAACGGATATCAGCAATTCTGGCTGCAAAACAACATACCCGTTACTTATCCCGTATTATAGAATATAGCGAGGAAATTTTTAACTTCCTTTCCATCGTCATACCTAGTGGAAAGGGGGTTCAGCGCTGTTACCAATCTCCTAACGAAAAAAAGAAACAGACTGGACATCATTAGCCGAGGAGATTTAAGATTAACCCTTACAAATTTGACGCCAAATATTTTTTTTTAAATTATTTTGAAAATTCAAGGATAGGTACACACTAAAATTCGTTAATTTTTTGCCTATTTTTAGATAACTTAAACGTATAAGAAGCGGAATTTAATCAAACTAACAGTGAAATTATTGTAGAACATACGTTTATGTTATAATTAATAAACGAACTCGCTTATTATACTATTTTAAGTAAAAAACTTTTTTTTTATTATTTTTCACTTTTTTTATTTTATCCCTCTTATTTTTTTTTTCAATGCGGGCACTTATTCCCAATGCGGGCACTTATTGGTCAGACACCAACTTCACTACAGTTAGAAATGTACAGGAAATCAATATCAGGTAAGTAGGGGGTCTACAAAACATGGAAAAACGTGGCAAGGGGTCTACGACACAAAAAAGTTTGGGTAACTCACTAAACGAAAGCGATATTATAATCTACCTGGGCCTATTATCAGCTGCAACTGCAGTCCCAGCATCAAAAAACTTAAACAGATTCAAAATTATTCGTGGAAAATAAAAGAAATTGATAGGATACCGCCATTATCATTCAATCAGCATACCTCTGTCAACAAGGCACATTCAAAAATACCGACAGTCATTAAAAAATACTCGAGAGACTCACAATAGATTAAAAAATTCTGTCGGTTGCGGTAAGCAGCATAAACGCAGGAGGCTCATTACGTATGATGAGTTAATTGACTTTGAAATCGACTCGAAATCAAAATATTATTCGAATCGCTCTGCGGGTTGCGCACTTGAGACTTGATTTGAAAACCAGGTGGTCCGAATATTTTCAGGGAATTATTTACCGATTTTATGCTGCTTGGCCAGCATGACAAATAAAAACGCGCTATTTAATGAGATTTGAATAAAATGAGTTTCCCACAGTAATATGCCCATGATTACCTTCAAAGTAAATTTATGTATTCACCAAGAGCGAAGTGTATACAGGGTGTTTCAGTTTATTGTTGCATAACCTTAAGATTCGATAGAACTTTTAAAATTTATGCATAAAGTCTATATAAACATGGGTCGAAAAATTCGTGGCTTCCGAAATACAGGGTGTTTAAATTTACCTTTTAAAATAGTTTTTTTTAAATATTTCGAACAATATTTGATGCATAACAGTGAAAATTGGTATACAAGGGTTCTTTTGTACGACAAAACGAACCGTGGGCATAGTTTTACTGTAGCCGCTAGAGGGTGCTCTCTACTGTACCTGTAGTGTATTAGAATGACCGAAAATTTTTTCTTGAGATATTTCGATTTTTAAGGTTCGATGCATTTTTAATTATTTATGGGAAAATAATATTTTTTTTATATTTTCGATTTGGCATTACAAGTAATTAACATGATCGTTTAGATTGTGTTTTTAAACACAGCAATAATTCCTAACTTCAAATAAACACAAAAAACAGAATATTAATTTGTTTAATTTTCCAATATTATTTTTAACAAATTAAATTAATTATTTACAACTAAAATGCTATTGAATAGTTAGGACAAACACACAAAATCTAAAGTAGTTGCTCGAAATGTAAACCCAATTGTTCAATACACAATTCACATCCACGAATGATCGAACGTGGTATAGCATTATTCAAATAAGGCCTTATTTCATCACATGCATTCCTGATTCTGTCTATTAGCATATCTCTTGTGGTTACGGGAGTCTGGTACACTTTTTCTTTTAGAAATCCCCACACAAAGAAATCTAAAGGATTTAGGTCAGGGGATCGTGGAGGCCAGGCGACTGGTCCCCCACGGCCGATCCATCTTTCTGGATAATTTCCGTCCAGCCAGTTTCTAACTATTCTCGAATAATGAGCTGGACAACCATCAAGCTGGAACCAGGCCAATCTTCTTAAATCTAACATAACACATATTTGCATGTTCAGCCTTTAAAAATTCCAAGAAGGTCGCAGCATTTAACCTTGCAGGCCAAAGGTAGGGTCCAAATCGTCGATTACGGTAGATACCAATCCACATGTTCACACTAAATTCATGCTGAAAATTTCTTTCCCGAACTGCATGCGGATTTTCATGCGACCAAATATGTTGATTATGAAAATTTACCACTCCACGTCTAGTGAAGCATGACTCATCGGTCCATAAAACGTTACTTAAAAACTCCCTATTATTATCAGTTCTATCAAGAATCCACTGACAAAATGTGATTCTTTGTTCTCCGTCCCCTGGCTGTAGTCCTTGCACAGGTTGCAAATGGTAAGGACGTCTATGGTCATTTCTAAGAACACGGTGAACATGGCTTGCTGAAATTCCCAAGGCACCAGAAACTCTCCTAACACTTGTGGTCGGATCTCTATCAATCTCACGCAGAATCATACGGGTAAATCTGCGCTGACGAACATTTATGTTTTGATCCCTTTGGAGATTTCCAAAACCATTTTCAATTATTTGGCGATGCACTCTTACAAATACTGAGCGAGTTGGATGTCGTCTGTTTGGAAATCTTCGTACGTATTCTCTGGTTGCTTCTGCTGCGTTTCCGTTTACAAAGCCATACACAAAATGAATATCCGCTAACTCTTGATTGGAGAATAAAAATGGCATTTTTATAAAACTTACAAAAAAAACAGGTAAAAGAAACTAAATTTCGTGCATTCACAATTGTAAAAAAACTTTTCAGGTTTCAACAGACAACAAAACTAACTGTCAACTAATTGACGTTTAACCTTAACTTCAAATAAACACAAAAAACAGAATATTAATTTGTTTAATTTTCCAATATTATTTTTAACAAATTAAATTAATTATTTACAACTAAAATGCTATTGAATAGTTAGGACAAACACACAAAATCTAAAGTAGTTGCTCGAAATGTAAACCCAATTGTTCCATACACAATTCACATCCACGAATGATCGAACGTGGTATAGCATTATTCAAATAAGGCCTTATTTCATCACATGCATTCCTGATTCTGTCTATTAGCATATCTCTTGTGGTTACGGGAGTCTGGTACACTTTTTCTTTTAGAAATCCCCACACAAAGAAATCTAAAGGATTTAGGTCAGGGGATCGTGGAGGCCAGGCGACTGGTCCCCCACGGCCGATCCATCTTTCTGGATAATTTCCGTCCAGCCAGTTTCTAACTATTCTCGAATAATGAGCTGGACAACCATCAAGCTGGAACCAGGCCAATCTTCTTAAATCTAACATAACACATATTTGCATGTTCAGCCTTTAAAAATTCCAAGAAGGTCGCAGCATTTAACCTTGCAGGCCAAAGGTAGGGTCCAAATCGTCGATTACGGTAGATACCAATCCACATGTTCACACTAAATTCATGCTGAAAATTTCTTTCCCGAACTGCATGCGGATTTTCATGCGACCAAATATGTTGATTATGAAAATTTACCACTCCACGTCTAGTGAAGCATGACTCATCGGTCCATAAAACGTTACTTAAAAACTCCCTATTATTATCAGTTCTATCAAGAATCCACTGACAAAATGTGATTCTTTGTTCTCCGTCCCCTGGCTGTAGTCCTTGCACAGGTTGCAAATGGTAAGGACGTCTATGGTCATTTCTAAGAACACGGTGAACATGGCTTGCTGAAATTCCCAAGGCACCAGAAACTCTCCTAACACTTGTGGTCGGATCTCTATCAATCTCACGCAGAATCATACGGGTAAATCTGCGCTGTCGAACATTTATGTTTTGATCCCTTTGGAGATTTCCAAAACCATTTTCAATTATTTGGCGATGCACTCTTACAAATACTGAGCGAGTTGGATGTCGTCTGTTTGGAAATCTTCGTACGTATTCTCTGGTTGCTTCTGCTGCGTTTCCATTTACAAAGCCATACACAAAATGAATATCCGCTAACTCTTGATTGGAGAATAAAAATGGCATTTTTATAAAACTTACAAAAAAAACAGGTAAAAGAAACTAAATTTCGTGCATTCACAATTGTAAAAAAACTTTTCAGGTTTCAACAGACAACAAAACTAACTGTCAACTAATTGACGTTTAACCTTATTCTGCTTTCAATTTCAAAAATATTTGGAGGCACAGCCTACTTCTAAAAATTATCGAGATACAGACTTTTTAACGTTATTTTATTATAAATAATTAAAAATGCATCGAACCTTAAAAATCGAAATATCTCAAAAACGGCTAACTATAACGAAAATTCACAAGAGAGCTTTTTTATGTTTAAAAGTGCGAAGAATCAGTTTTTTTATTCAAAAAGCAAAAAATTACACTAAGAAAAAATTTTCAGTCATTTTAATACACTACAGGTACAGTAGAGAGCGCCCTCTAGCGGTTACAGTAAAACTATGCCCATTGTTCGTTTTGTCGTACCAAAAAACCCTTGTTTATCAATTTTCACTGTTATACATCAAATATTGTTCGAAATATTTAAAAAAAACTATTTTAGAAAGTAACTTTAAATATTTCGAAAGCCACGCATTTTTCGACCCATGTTTAAATAGACTTTATGCATTAATTTTAAAAGTTCTGTCGAATCTTAAAGTTATGCAACAATAAACTTAAACACCCTGTATATGAGTAATTATAAATTGCCAAAGCTCAAAGTAGCCCTGCAACAGCAGTAGCAATTTCACCATCCATACTCGTCAAGAGCGCGAACTTCTGCGAGTGTGGAACTGTAGGAACAAATTTCGGGATTCGCACCGCGATTTCAAGCCGTGATCCGCGTGGGAATCTGGAGAGGGTATCGCAGTTGCTGGAGCAAGGGTTGATAACGTTTTTGTTTTTCAGGC